GGTCTGTGAACCATATATTGTTTTTATATATAATACCATATATTTCATAATACTGAGCGTATTATTGTTTTGTCGAGTTTTATTTTGTACTTCTCGATATAATTGTAGATTTAGTATTATTTTCAGTGTTAAGGATCGCTCCCAGGTATACAAATTCGTTCACTGCTTCGATGACGTAGTTTTCTATAACAAGTGGTCGTAGGATTTGTGGCTTCGTGCTTATTTTCATATACTTTGTTTTTTGTGTTTATTGTTACACCCAATTTTGTAGCTAATTATTTTAATGATACATACACCTTTCGTACAGCATTTTTCTGACAATATTGATATCATCAGCATAGGCTAAGATTTGCACTGATTTATTATATATTAAACAAGTATTTGTGATTTGTGACCAGCGTATTACTTTTTCCAGAGCCAGATTGACAGTATACAATAGAGAGAGTCTCCCTGGTGTAGTCCGTTATTTATTTTAAAGGGTTCAGACAGTTCCCCCTAAAGTAGTACTCTACATTCAACTTTTTCAAGAGTTAGTTTTGTTAAATTTACCAACTAATTTGCTATTCCTAGCTTTTCTCTTACTTTGAACATTTCTCTTCTATTCACTGAGTCGTAGGCTGCTTTGTAGTCTATAAATATGTGATGAGTATCATTGTGTTTTTTCCAAAATTTGTTTCAAGGATGCAATCTGATGAATTGTCGATATACCACCTATGAAACCAGCCTGGTATTTTCCTACTATCCGTTCTGCATACGGTGCCATACGGTGACATAGTACTGAGGAAAATATTTTATAAGCTGCGTTTAGAAACGTAATTCCTCTGTGGTTAGAACTTTCAAAGATATCTCTTTTTTTGTGTATGGTGCAAAGTATTCCAATATTCCAACCATTGTGGAGGGATTTCTGTGTCCATATATCTTTCATAAGCTATTGTTGTGCCATTATGGTACCCATTATACACTATATAAAGAAGGTGGCCATATGGCCGCCTTTTTTTATAGTAGAGCTGGGAGATTATCTATTTCAGGTGATTTGTTTTCTGGCTAGTTTTTTAACTGCATCTTTAACTTCAAAAATCGTTGATGATTCATCTTCCCTCTCTTCTGTTCCCCTTACCTCATCTCTTTCATCTTCCAGGTTTTCTTTTTCTTCCTCTATATTAAGTGTCTGGTTAAACCATTTCACTCATCTATTCAATACATCTGTCGTCGTTGTTAATAGGTCGCCACTATGACTGCTGCATTCTCTTGTGCTTGAATTCTTTTCTGTTCATGTTAACCTTCTTATAGAATGCTTTGAATTCTTTTTCTTTGTTATTTCGTTTTTTTCTTTTGTGTATCTTTTTTTTCTCTTCTCTTTGTTTGGTAATTATGTACAGTTGTTCTTGTTCGTCGAGTGAGCATCTTTCTGTAGGCTTCATTGTTTTTGTTGCATTCTTGCATTCACCGTCAAACCAATGATTTTCACGGACACAAATTTATGTTCCAATTTCATTTTTCGCTACTGCTTCAATATCTTTCCTTATTGTGGTTCAGTCTTCTTCTTAATATTCTCATCCCTAAGGACATTGGCAATCACCATAGCCCATTTAACTCTATCTGCTCCTCCTCCTCCGAATTACCTTCTCTGTTGAGGTTGGCGATCAATATGGCAATTTTTTCTCTATTCTGGACTTGATGAATTAATTCATTTCCTCTTGTGTGGGTCCAATCTCTGATGTTTCGTAGCCAAGATTTTTTCTTTCGTCCTATGCTCCTTTTACCTTCAATCTTGCCTTCTAATATTACCTGGAGCTGCTCTAATTTCCTATGGCGCATTAGGTGTCCTAAATAGGACGTCTCTCTAATTTTGATAGTATTGACTTCTTCTTCTTCAAGTTCCACTCTTATCGGAGATTGGAAATCATTCTGGCAATTATAATTTTATTGGTTGCTCGCCTGAATAGTTCAATTGAACTGCATCCAAACCACTCACGGAGATTGCGTAGCCACGAGATTTTACGTCTTCCTACGCTTCTTCTACCTTTGATTTTACCCTGCATTATATTCCTTAGTAGTTCGTACTTTTCACCGCTCATGATGTGCCCCAAGTATTCCAATTTCCTGATCTTTATGGAATTTAAAACTTCGCATTGTTTTCCTAGTTGTTCGAGAACTTGTTCGTTTGTTTTGCGATCTATCCACGATATTTTCAAAATGCGTCGGTAACACCACATTTCGAATGCTTCTAGGTTTTTAATGTTGGATTTTTTAAGTGTCCAAGCTTCAACTCCATACAAAAGGGTAGAGAAAATATAACATCGAAGCATTCTTATCCGGAGCGATATATTGATATCGCGATTACAAAAAAGTTTTCTCATTCTATTAAAAGTTGACCGCGCAATTTCAATGCGGCATCTTATTTCTTTTGTCTGATCAGTATCTTCTGTGATCCATGCTCCAAGTTATTTGTACGAAGATATTTGTTCAATTTCTGTATTGTCTAGTACTAGCTTAACTTTGATGTTTTGTGCTTTTGTAAATACCATGAACTTGGTTTTCTTCAAATTGATTTTTAGTCCATAATCGTTGCAATATATATTTAGTTGTTCAGCAAGGTGTTGCAGTTCTTCTAGTGTTCCTGCCAAAAGGACGGTGTCGTCAGCATATCTTATGTTATTAAGTGGCTCACCGTTTATTATAAGGCCCTCACTGATCTCGGCAAGCGCTAATTCTGAGATGGCTTCACTGTATAAATTGAATAACAAGGGTGATAAAATACACCCTTGGCGGACCCCACGGCGAATCTGGATATCCTTGGTCAGTTCGTTTTCAACTTTTACTTTTGCTGTTTGATTCCAATAGAGGTTACAGATGATTCTAATGTCTCTACTGTCTATGTTTTTATTTAATAAAATTTCTTTAAGTCGATTATGTTGCACTCTGTCAAATGCCTTCTCAAAATCAATGAAACAGGCATATACTTCCTGATTAATATCTAAGCATCTCTGTCGAAAGAACACTTATTGCAAACAGTGCATCTCGTGTTCCCAGTCCTTTCCTAAATCCCATTTGTGTTTACTTATGCCTTCATCTAATTTCTTATGTACTCTATTGTGAATTACTTTTAAAAACAATTTCAAGACATGACTCATTAAGGCTATGGTGCGATGTTCATTGCACTCCTTTGCATTGGCTTTTTTGGGAAGCAGTATGAATGATTGATATACCTGTTCTATATATGGTATTGAATAGATCCAAAAGAAGATCAATAGATTCAGTATTCACAATTTTAAGTAATTCGATAGGAACTTCATCAGGCCTGGGAGATTTACCATCTTTAGCTTGTTTCATTGCATATTCAATTTCTTCTCGTATAATGTCAGGCCCAGTATCATCCTTACATTCTTTTGGTGCTTCTGTTCTCTCTTTGTCTTCAAATAGTTGTGCTATATATTGTGTCCATCTCTGCATTTTTTGGTTTTATATCTGTTATAAGTGCACCCCTTTCATCTCTTAGTTGCCTAGTTTGAAGTGTTTTTCTCATTCCTGTTAATTCTCTAATTCTTTTATGCATGTTAAACAAAGTCATATTTTTTTCTCAATTTCTTCTAGTTCTTGGCACTGCTCATGTAACATTCTCTCCTTAGCTTCTTTTATTCTCTTTTTTATTAGTATTGACTAGAGATGTTCATTACTCTCAGTACCTCTTCATTCGTAGTTCTTTTAATCCAGCTTATTTTCCGGCGGTACATCCACATTTCAAATGAATTTAATTTGTTGATGTCATACTGTTTTAATGTCCAGGTCTCTATCTGCAGCCGTTCTGAACTGAAAAGTTGTATTGACGTTTTTCCACTCCATTGTCTCAGATTCTTCAACCAGGACGTACGTCTTCTCCCCAGTACTCTTTTGCCTTCCACCTTCCCTTGTATGACCCTGGTCCAGTAGAAGTCTATATGTGTCTGGTCTTTTTATTTACATCTTGATTCTTTAGCCTATTAGTGATGTTTTCCGAGTACCGTTCTGCAATTGTCGCATCTCTCAGCTTCACTGGTGTTTGAAATTCTAGCCCCCAATAGTGAGATCACTAGCCAATGATCTGAGTCTATGTTTGAGCCTCTATAACTTCTGTAGTTTGTGACATCCATTTCATGCCTTAAATCTATTAAGATGTCATTAATGTGACTCGTTGTTCTTCCATCAGGAGAGATGCAGGTTACCTTGTGTATATTCTTTTGTTCAAAGTTGGTGCTAGAGACTGTCATATTTAGTGTTGCTGCTAAGTTTGTCAGCCGTAATACATTATCGCTACTAAAGCTATGCTTTCCTATCGTGGGCATGAAAACTCGCTCTCGTCTTATTCTTACATTTATGTCACCTAATAAAATCTAAATGTTTACCAACACAAAAGACCCAGAGGCCGACCTCTTATGAGATGGACAGATGATCTGAAAAGGACCGCCGGGAAAAATTGCTACAAGTAGCGTACAAATAAAAAACAATGGAAAGGAAGACTTGAAGTGGCTTATGTTCAGATGTGGACGTGAATGGCTAGAACGAAGAAGAAGAAGAAGAAGAAGAAGAAGAAGAAGAAGAAGAATAAAATCTAAATGTTATGTTATTTCTGGGACATCTCGTGCAAGTTTTCTCTAGGTCTTCGAAGAACTGGTTTTCATTTCCTCTGGTTTGTCATCAGTTGGGGCATGTGTTGGGGCATGGGGCAATTGTAATTATAAAATTTCCCTTTTGAGCGCTAATAGCACATTTTTTGACTGTAGGCTTTTAAGTCAATATTAAGGCCTTTTGTTCTTCGGTTTACAATAAACTCCAACCCATCCATGTGTTGGCTTTCATTGCAGCTATAATATTTTGGAATTGGTTCTCTGGGTTAAGAGTGCCAGTTCCCATCCACCGCAGTTCCCATCCACCATTTCCTGCAGTGCTAAAACATCTACTGAGTGTGTTCACCTCGAAGAATATCTATCAACCTTTGATTATAACATTTTTAAAATTTTTAGGCTGACAGTGGCGGCCCCTTAATGCTAGATATGGATCATTCAGAAGATCAAACCATGGTAATTGGTGTGGTGTCGACCGGAATAGGGTGTGCCAGACCTTATTTACCTGGACTTTATACCAGAGTTTCTGACTATATTTCTTGGATTGAAGAAGTCCTACAGAAATAAATCAACTGATCTGTGATAACTTGTGATATATAGTCTAAGATTGAAATTAGTATTAATTGAATGCTTGTTTTCTAGAATGTGTTATTGATATATATATTTCTGTATCCCGGAGGTAAAAGACATTACTAAAATGTCTATTTTTATCAAAATTTTGTTTATTGCTATTTTGAATATAAATTTTCGGGCTCTACACAGAGATAAACCATACTATGTCCAGAGACAATTTTACGGCAAGTTACCGACTTTTTAATAAATATCAAGTACACTTCCAGTCAGATGTGAAAAACACCATGTAGACTTGGTGTTGTTTACCTCTACTAAATGTGTGCACTGTTATTTACCATCCGGACATAGTGCTATGTACCCTTGTACCTGGTGGAGTTGTCATGAACTAAAATAATTGTAACCATTTTATTTAGTTCGCAATAGTGTTAGATTGTTAAAAGTTGTACAATACATCCGTTGTTTAATAATTTCAAACTGGATCCGAACTCTTGTAAGAAAAGAATACTACAATTACTGCGATCTAATGAAACAACACCTACAGGTAAGCTGTTGTTTAATAACACTGATTTAGTAATTTGGTAACTTTAAATAGTCAGTATAGTATAGTATACTCTTTTGACGAATGAATCTTGATGAAGATGATAATTCGTTTGGAGATGATGATGTGCATATTGATAAAACCTATGAGACTCTAAGTGGCGCAAGCACAAAATGAGACGACAATGATGTAAGACTAAGGTAAATCAGCAAAAACAAAGGTAAAAGAGAAAGGTATTACTACTTGTACGACTAGTGGGACAATAACAAAAAATGTTCTGAAGGACAATTTATCCTTATGCAGTGATGCAGACAATTTCACTTAACATAGTGAAGTTACCATAAAATGCTCTTAAAGATTACCAGAATACGAAAGACAAAAAATCTTCAACTTATACTGGACTGAGATAATCGTTTCACAGGTTAAAAAGCAATTTATCTTCTCATGTGTCCACATCCAACTTACTCTTTGATCAAGAAAAAGAGACACAATCTGCACCAAATCTAAAAATAATACACTACAGTACAATCTTACAGTAAAGAGTCGGCAATTGAAGGTATGCAAGGTTATGTTTTTAAACACACTTTCTATATCTAATTTAGTGAAATAATGAATATGTTTAAAAAATTGAGCTAGAAAGTTTAGTAAAAGCTGATCAAAGAGATAGACACACGTCAATTAATAAAACTCCTACCGAAATCATAAATAGTATCGATCAAGATATCAATTCTCTCTTAAAGTACGAGAGTCATTATTCCAGAGAAAGGAGCAAGAGAAATGATCTGGACACAGAACTTACAATAAACATATGTATTAACTGTATATTAATGAATGCAATGAAAGACATGTGGATCCAAAGCTAAGAACAAAAAAGTGGTTGTGCGCAGATATTTTTATTAAAAACTTCAATATTTTATTAAACCACCCGAAATTGACACTTGCGATACATGCAGTACATTTGCCGGTCAATTGAAAATAATCTTACTACAGATGAACTAACCAATGTAGAGGCTGATCATAATGCTGACCTAATTCAATCTACAACTCGGTATAACTTAAAACAATTGGACTTTATAATGGCTATAGAGTCACCAAAACACAAAGTACTATCTGGTGATTTGCAAAAATGTTTGCCTTCACCACGAACAAACAATTTTGTTAGTTTCTACAAAAGGAAGCTTTTAACATTAAATTTTACATTATATGATGCCAGTGATTCTTCTGTACAATGTATGATGTGGGATGAATTAAAAGAAGCCCGTGGTGCAAATAAAATTGCCTCGTCAATTTTAAAATGAATATAAGGTTGAATGTTCGAATAATTAAACTTTGAGGTATACAAGGCAACTATCGAACACGGTGATTAAATTAATCTTGCCCAAGTACTTTCGATCAATAGATCATCTTCAGGGGCATTTCGTCAGTTGTGGTCTATCCGACATGAGTAGAATGTCATAAATGTAAAATTTAGACATAACAATACAAAATACAATACACAAAGACAAACAAACACTTTAAAATTTTAAGGAGAAGCTACATGTTGTATAGAAGCCGAAGACAGAATGGGCTCCCGGTCTGACGGGTCATCTCAATATTTCTGTCAGACCGGGAGCCCATTCTGTCTCCGGCTTCTATACAACATGTAGCTTCTCCTTAAAATTTTAAAGTGTTTGTTTGTCTTTGTGTATTGTATTTTGTATTGTTATGTACAAATTTTACATTTATGACATTCTACTCATGTCGGATAGGCCACAACTGACGAAATGCCCCTGAAGATGATCTATTGATCGAAAGTACTTGGGCAAGATTAAATTAATCACCGTGTTCGATAGTTGCCTTGTATACCCTCAGAATTTTAAAATGAGCTAACAATACAATTCCAGGTAGTCAAGTAGAGGACTCTTTGGACCGATAACTGCTATGGACAAAATAAAAATATAAGTATTATTATGTGCTATTTTTGGACACTTCATACGTATCCTCAAGTAATGACAATCACTTAAAAGTTTTTACTGAAAGGGCACACACACACACACACACACATGGAAGCAGACAGTGTTCATGCTTTGATCGAAAGGAAAAGATAAAAACATAAGAAACTCTCCAATTTGGCAATTTTAACACCATGGGACTGGCAACAGCTAATTAGGCAAACATCAGGTAAATAAACAGTGCACAACATGAAACTTGCAGATTTCAAAAACTTCAAAACGTTGAAGAAGCTGTCACCCGATCCTGCTTTTGTAAATAGAAAAAAGAATGTTAACGAAGAGCCTGTTCTATTGTCAACATGTGGTTTTCTACAAGTCCAACAAGAATATATTGGAAATCTCTTTTATAAGACCGATTTTAATAATCAAAATTTGTTTGAGGTGGACTTTATGAGGTATTGCAGACAGTAAGTAACTTTTTCAGCCCAATTAAATCAAGTCTCAGTAATTCCATCACCAATCACAAAACAAAAGTACAATGACTTAATTGCACTATTGCCTTTTGTTCCGTGGGCTTCTCATGGGTTTTAATCAAAATTTAACTCATAGCAATGTAGCCACAAACGATTACCCCAAGAAGATGAAAATGATATGGAGCATCTTTAACAATTTTGAGACTTGTCTATAATTTTAGTTAATAATTAAAATATTTTAATATTTGTCTCTAATAAAATAATAGTATAGGCTGTTTAATATTTTTGTCTTGTTTATTTTGTAGAGACCTAACATGTAATGTCACATTGTTTAAAAAAATTGTTAAAGGTAAACAACACTATGTCCAACTACACATTTTTAAAAAAATTATTAAATGAACGCTAAACTTCACTTATATAGGACTTCATGGAAGGAAAAACGATTATATACTTACACAACAATTATAATATATTATTCTTGGTTAAATATAAGAAACATTTGAGTATTTACTGATTACAAATTAAAAAATGTTAAAACTGCTTTCCTTTACCTCCGGGGTACAGATTTATAAGTATGTCTTTTTGTGTTCGAGTGTACACATCGCACACCTAGTTCAATAGTGCCACAAGTCCAAAATACAATTATTTCGAGAAATGAGCAAAACGTTCTGTAGCAAACGAGTTATGCCTTGTAAATAATTTATGTTTAGAATGACTGGCTTCAAAATTACAATTTAGTTAGCAAATTATACAGTTTATTCGCTGGATCTTATTACAATTTATTAAAAATAAAACGTTAATTGTATTTTGATAGTTATGGCGATATTGCATTGTGAAGAAAGTCATTTATAAAACGATAAATAGGAGATACGGCGGCAACATAATAAAAAAAAATCAACTAGTTCTTACAAAAAATATTTTATTATTATTATTACAAGTGTGTATGAACATTTTTTTTAATTACTATTAACCAAGTGCTTATAAAAATTGTGATGAACAGGTAATATTAAGTTTTTATTGCACAGTTCCAAAAGGTGTTGCTTGGTTTTTGCGGATATCGATGGAGGCTTTATGTACGCCTTTTTTAAATCGATTACTGCTTCCACAGTTGCTAAACGCCCCCTTGTCGATGCTTTAAAAATGGACCTCGTCGAACTCATCGGCATTATATTCTGTTTTATAGAAGAAAGATCCAGGATTGCTTTTGATAACTTTAATAACTTGGATATCATTCCAGACTACCTTTTCATCTTTTGTATTCTTTATAAAATTTCCTCCAAATTTTGGATTGAGATCTTTAAAGTCATATAAGTCTTCTGTTGACATTTTTAAAGTCATATAAGTCTTCTGTTGACATTTTTTTTACATTGTAAGGATTTCCCTCTTTTTTTGCAGATCTTATGATGGCAGGCACTGTGCAGGAACATAAATGGGACCCGTTTTAAGTTTTTCTTCTTTTACCTCTCAATAGTTGCGTGCATGGCGTCCCCTTCATTTTGGGTATGTCCCACTGTTAAAAATTGATGTGTGATTGATTTAACATTAATTTTTCCAATTGCATAGAGATACATGGTAACTATAAATTTATTTTTATTTTGCCCAACAAAATTGTCGCTATAAAATATAACGTCTTTATCATTACAATGATTTGAAAGATAATCAAACAGACACGTAGCTATTTCGTTTGAGCCGCGGTTAGCAATAGCCTCGTGCCAAAACTAACAGTAACCAGTCTTTTGCAATATCTGAAAAATTGTAAAGTTGAAGCAGTTCAGGCGGCATTTATAGTAGAGACTTAAAACATCTCCACAAGGTGTAGGAAGGATCGCCTGCAAATTAAAACAAGCTACCAATACTTGAGAATCATCTGTTGCTCTTGCTAGATCTTGTGCTTTTTCTTCTCTGCTTCTAATTTATTATGGATATGTTTATTATAAGTTTGATGAAAAGTAGCTTGCTGTTCAGCAGAGGAATTTTTATATGATTCACAAATTGTCCACTGATCTTTTTTTGGCTCAAAGAAAGTTATGTTAAACTCAGTTTTAAAAATAT